AGTCAATTTGCTGTCTTCAAGAAGGCAGCTCACTACCTTCTCAAGAACAATGGAGAATGCATAGTAAATGCTGGCCTTTCCAGTGATGCCACAGCTATTAATGAATAAGAAAGCAGCACTCCACATGTCCTGGAGATAGTAGGAACTGCAGATGCTGGAGAATCTGAGATAACAAGGTGTAGAGCTGGATGAACACAGCAGGCCAAGTGGCATCAGAGGAGCAGGAAAGCTGATGTTTCGGGCCTAGACCCTTCCTCAGAAATGCCTGCATTTCTGATGAAGCGTCTAGGCCTGAAACGTCAGCTTTCCTGCTCCTCTGATGCCACTTGGCCTGCTGTGTTCATCCAGCTCTACACCTTGTTATCTTTTACTCCACATGTTCTTCCCACATCATTAATACGTAGTTTGATTCCTTGAATGCACATTACTCTTCTTGCACTTTCCAACTGCTGTAGTTGAGGAAACTGTTGGTTATTGTTATGGGCTCTTTGAACAGGTTACACACAGGGTATCAGCTATATCCTGTTGAACAGAACCCTGTCTTTAACACACACCTAGAAATTATTGCTTTAGTAATGCACTTCCTCCTGCTTGCCATTGCATAAACAGATTGACATTTTATGAAGGGATGGGATGCATTGCGAAACTTTGAGAGAAAATTGAAATACTGCTTGCCACCTGTCTTCAGACTCAAATAAACTGCGCCTCTGCGTCTGGATATCTCTACACTCAGGTTATGGAACCAAATTGAGTAAATGCAGTTAAGATACAGATCACTTATGATTTAATTAAGTGGTGAAACAGGTTCGAGGGTCTGAATGGTCTACTCCTGCACCTATGTTCAAATATCATAAACTGTAACAGCTGCTCTCCACTGTGGCAAACTTTCAAAGATTTAGCAACAAATTTAGCTGCATCCAAAGAGAATATAGTTCCTGTCATGGTTGAAGTATTTACATGTTTGCAGATCTGTAGCCATGTTCAATAATCAGCAGTGATGTTATTCACAAGAGCATCAATCTTGCTTTAGTTTCTATTGTCATAGATTCAGAAACAAAATGTTTGACTTCACTGCATGACTGCGTCGCACTGCACTTCACTCACTGGGCTACCATCAGTTCTGAGGAAGGGTCATTGAACCCGAAACATTAACTCTGATTTCTCTCCACAGTTGCTACCAGACCTGCTGAATTTTTCCAGCAATTTTTGTTTTCATTTCTGATTTCCAGCATCCGCAATTCTTTTAGTTTTGACTTCACTGCAGTTGCGCTGTGGTTTTAATTTTATATAAACTGTCAACGAAGACTACCAAGCAAACATCCTAAAAGTGGGCACTGTTAGTTCTCCGTGGTAAGTCCATTACACTCTTCCAGGGATTTAAGTTGACATTGCCAAGGTCAACATTTCTTGTTCTTCTCCAATTGTCCTCAAAATGATTGGCTGGCTGGGCAGTTTCAGAGGCCAGTTAAAAATCAGCCACTCTGCAGTAGGGCTGGAGTCACACGTAGGCCAGACCAAGTAAGGATGGCAGATTTTCTTCCCTAAAGAGTGTTAATGAACCAGATGGATTTTTAAAGCAGGCACTGACAGTTACATGAACAAAAACAAAAGTTGCTGGAGAAGCTCAGCAGACCTCGCAGCATCGGTGAAGAAAAAAATCAGACTTAATGTTTCGGGTCCGGTGACCCTTGCTCAGCTCTCGGATCTTTTCTTCACAGATGCTGCCAGACCTGCTGAGCTGTTCCAGCAACTTCTGTTTTCTTCCTGATTCACAACATCTGCAGTTCTTTCGGTTTTTACTGACAGTTTCATAGCTCCCAGTCTAGTTTACAATTCCTGGTTTTATTAATTGATGATAAATTTCACCAGCCCCATGGTAGGATTTAAACTAGTGTCTTTAGAGCATTAATCTTGGCCCCTAGATTGCTGGACCAGTGACATTTCCGCAATGGCAACATCTCTCCATGATCATTGGGCCATTGATGACATGGACAATATGGCAATTATACTGAATTTTGATTCGTCACCTGTGCAGAGTTGGAGGAACTTGGTCAGGACAGTAATACTGCAATGGCCTCCTGGAATGAGGAAGCCACATACATCTACCAAAGTGTCCATGCTGCAGGTCACTTTTTGATAACCCTTGCTGGAAGGTGTGAATGTGAAGGTGCCAGCTGTAGTTAAATTTGTTGATGATGCACCACATGGTTGAATATCCTGTCAACATGCCCAATGGGCGACCTGATGGGAGACATACTAAAGGCCCGATATTGACTAAAGTGATCATGTGAAAGGGGAGGCAAGGACAAAATCAAAGTAAAATCTAAGAAACAAATGATTGAGGACCTCATTTGAAGAGAGCCAAAATAAGAACTGTTTAATGGAAACATGGGAATTGAATTCTCACACCGTGCAAGGAGGGGTCCTCCAGTAAGGTTGAGCACTATAAAGGAAGGTTTATTTGACAAAGATGTACAAAGCTTCATATTTTAACTTCCACACAATCTAGTCTGGGTACAAAGAAGAGAATTAAAAAACAGTGCACTCAGTAGACTGTAAAATATAATAAAAAGGTAGAAATAAGAATTTAACATAAGTCTGGATTGACGGGGCTTGTACTGACCAGAAGTCAGAAGAATCAGGAGGGTCTCATAGAAATATATAAAATCCTGATGGGACTGGACAGGCTGGATGTGGGAAGAATGTTCCCAAAGTTGGGCAAGTCCAGAATTAGAGGGTCACAGTCTAAGAATAAGGTATAAGCCATTCAGGACTGAGATGGGGAAGAATTTCTTCACTCAGAGAGTTGTGAACCTGTGGAACTCTCTCCCACAGAAAACTGTTGGGGCCAGTTCATTAGATTTATTCAAGCGAGATCTAGATGTGGCCCTTGCAGCTAAAAGGGTCAAGGGGAATGGAGTGAAAGTGACAGTGGGATACTGAGTTTGCATGATCAGTTATGATCATATTGAACGGTAGTGCAGGATCAAAGGGCCGAATGGCCTACTCCTGCACCTGCTTTCTATGTTTCTTTGTCTTCAACTTTTAAGCCTTTAAATCCGGGGGCTGCTGGTTATTGAATTAAGGCTAAGAGGCTATGTTTAGATTAGCACAGTGCAGCCCTGAATTGCAGAGAGGCCACTCCTGACACTGAGCTTTGCTCAGAAATCAAAGCTGACTGAATTTGCCAGATTCTCTGATGCAGAGGCAATGCTAAAACATACTGAGTCCAAATGATCCCTACGTTAAATAGACACAAATTAACATGACAATACAGGACTCTAAAGCAAATGGTCATTATGATAAAGTAAATAATGATGGTAGATGATTCAAAAGTAATTTTCCAAAGGGAAATTGCATAAATACTTGTAAGGGAGAGAATTACAGGGCTATAGGGAGAGAGTGGGGAACTGGGTCTAATAAGATTGTTCTTTCAAAGAGCCAGCAGTGACCGTTTGGTCTGCTCCCTTTACTAAGTACATTGCAATAACCTCACTTAAAATAAGAAGCAAGCATAAAATTCTAATACGCCCTTTTCACCATGCCTCACATCATTAGCTCTAAAACTCTGCTTTTAAACGATAAGCTGTTCCAACTCTCTGAACTCATTCATTCAAATACAAACCAGATAGAAATGACAAACTCGCATGACAACTGCTGAGTAATTGCAATGAAACATGTTCACTGTTTGCAATTGATCATATCTTGATACAGCCTCCTCCACATATAACTGATACCTTCATGCAAACACAACTTGCATATTATACGCAGTAGATTGTGAAAATGTTTGAAAGGAGCTGCTGGATCTACCTGACTATAGGCCGGACCAGACATTTAAATTAGAAGGGAAATAACTACTAACAAGAAGGAGCAATCTGAAAAGTTTATCTCCTGTCTATTTTATTATAAGCTGTATTTTACTCTATTAACATCAAACCTCCCCTCAACCCTCACTCCCTCTGCTCTACTAAGATCCAGCACTGATTCAGTTACCCTGCTCCCACACGCTAATGTTTTCTTTCAAATTTTGACAAGTCTTTTTGTGCTCTCAGATATCACCAAACCTTCTCTCAATTTCACTCAGCCTGTGTTTCCAGCCTTCCCTCTTGCTCCTGCTCAGTGCCTACTAGATTCGTCTCCTCCTTTTATTGCATGATGATGTGATGTAAAATTACTTTTCTTGTTGACTTATCTTTATTTCATTGAACCAAACTTTGAGGTTGTAAATTTGTTACTTCATCGCTCAGCTGCTCAAGGTTCGCTTTTCCTTCCAGTTAAAATAGTTATTCCCTCATTAGATGAACTTTAGACTTGTTGTTTAAGCTACTGTACACTTCATCAAATTGTTCAACGCCAAACTGAGAAGGCTGAATATATTTCATATAAGATCATTAAGATACCATAAGGCACAGCTTACTGCAGGTCAGTTCACATTGACTTGGAAGAGATGCAATGGCATGAAGTTACTTTATGGACAATAGCAGATATTCTCTTTGTCTTTATCATTAATGTACAACAATGCAGTGTGTCACACTAATACAGAGCAAGTGAACATTGTTCCATTGTAATGTTGCTTGTACTAGAAAAATCTGCCATGAAACAATATCATATAATTTGGACCAAACTCTTCTAGGGCATCAAAGCACATTGATCAGTCAGTAATGCCACACAATTGAATAATCTGCATCGTATAGCTCTAGACAACTTCATTTCAATAATTATACCATATGGTAACAGATTAATCTAATTAGTCTGGTTACAACTGCTTTCTATCACGCCATCTAGAATAGTCTGTTGCACTGTAACATATTACATTGAAATCCTGAGTATCAAGAGGATTCATTCAGTGACATTTATGAAACATCTTTAATAATATAAGGAATTAGTGAATAATAAATAACTATCCATATTTTAGATTAATTTTGAAAAAGTTAAAATGATGAGTTTGATCAGATTAGCTGTTGAACCTAAACGTTGAAGTTATTTCTGGAATCATTTACCTGCTGCAATGTTTAGTAGCTTACAGGCTGTTTCTATCTCCTTAAGAACTTCGCCAACCACCATCGTCTGAACCTGTTCTAGTGACCTTTCTTCAAAGTGGACACTGTTCTGATAGTCCAGCTCTGTGGGTACACACAGCTCCTGACTGTCCACTATGGGGCATTGTTCTGGCTCTTTGTGCGGCTCGGTCTTCATGATGTGGTCAGTCTCTGGCCGCTCCACCAGCCCTTTAGATAGCCATGCATAGTCTTCCGTTAACAACATGTCGAAATAGGACAAATAGACAGGCAGTGTCCGTTCAGGTGTTGAGGGGTTACTGGATGGTTCTACCATGGTCCACTCAAGATCCTTTGGGTGACCAGGTTTCTCCAGGTTGGTGAGTATTGCATCCTCAAAGGCAGTTCGGTTCTGCTGCAGCATGGTCAGTCGACAACCAGCACTGCCCATCACCTCAAGTAAACTCTTCAGATCTATAGCAAAACAAGATGAGACAAATGTTTAATTGTATAATAACTTCATCCATAGACTGATGACTATTGACTGCTTCACAGCAATACTGTTCATTGAACCCTTTGGGAAGCTGTAAGCTAGAAACGGGGATTATGGGGTCAGTTGGTCACTTAAATATCCCAGTAAGTCCTCAATGAGCTTTAATGAACATTTTACTTATGGGTCAGTTTGTATTAATGGGTGATCACGTTAAGAGGGGCTGTTCGTCCAAATACAGGATTCAAACTGCAGTTTCTTTCTTGTGAAAAGAAAAGCTGCTCTTTAAACAGACAACATCTGACTTTCTTTTCATGACTTTAATTAAAAGGGCCCATCTCTTTCTAGTAACAACATCTTTGCCATTTACCAAGTGAACAGGATTTAATTGTGGTTGGCAGCGAAAAAAAACAAGAATTAGACATTAAAATTTACTCATTCTTAAACTTATTATATCCTATTTTAAAAAATTGTTTTTAGATGATATATGTACATAATTAGACTACAGTCCCTCCATTAGGACCTGCAATAGTAACCAATGTGAATGTAACCTTATGTCTTTAGTACCGTGGACAAGCCTGAGAAATAGGTGTAAACTATGATGCAGTGTGAATGTGCAACTGCAGTTTGGCAACTTGACAGAAAACACAGCTCGACTTAAAAAGGAATTTTTGTGTAAAACTTGAATAACAGAATATTAAGATCATAATATTCACAAGTTACACCACCAAGAGTCTTGCATTGTTAGAAAAGTTAAGACTGGTCTCTCACCCACAGCTGATGGAAGAGAGAAAGCACAACCACTTGTTCTGCTGTTTAAACATTGCAGCTTCTGCAGAGCCAATGCCAAATCCTCCATTGTAGCACCACTTTCAACCATTTATCCCACTTCTCTGGGGTTCCACCAAAGGCACAGGGCAAGATTTAGAGAACTCTTCAGGGTTTTGCAAGATTTTTCTTCAGTCTTACATCTTTTCCCCTCCTAATGATGGTGACTTCTGCTGTGGAATCACCTAACTGGCTTTCCTTAAAGTGCAAACACCAATAGAGAACATGTGAGCTATTTAACTGTGGCAGGCATCACAGCCAAAATTGATCCCATCAAACACAGATCACTGTGTGACAGAAGTACTGACTGTGTTTCAAACCCACTCTCAATTCCCTACCTTAATGTTAAGGCTATTTATCATCCAACTGAGTATCTAACCAGAGATTTTCTGGTCTGTATTGTTTACTGCTACATGGATTGATGGCTTCACCTGTGGCAAGGTTATCCAAGGAGCTTTTTGTGACTTCTGTTTTGCTTTAAGCCTCTTCCTTGCCTTTCTTCCACACCATCTGACTTTAAGATAGCAAGCTTTTAGAAACTTGGACCTTGCAGCTTCACTGAAATGGCTATCAATGCCAGTCCATTATTAGCTAGTGCACAGGTCATTCAGTGATCCTTTCATAATAATCTAGAACAATCTGTTACACGTACTGCAGAGTATCATATTGATCTACCACAGTCTGTCAAGCAGCATTGCATAACATTTTACTGGACCCATCAAGAGACTATGCAGTGAATCAAAGTTGTTAAAAATGATATAAATAATTGAAGGGGTTATTGAATATTTAACAGGCATGAGATTAAACAGATTTGAGCCCATTGGCATAAGAAAACATGATGGCAAAAGTTAAGCTCACCGAAAGGCCTCTGTTGCACCTGGCAACCCAGAGTTAGACCTGGCTTCTTAGGTTTTCAATTTTGTTCACACTCATTTCCTTGATGAGTGGTTTGTGCAAGATCTGGGTGAATTATTGGATAAACTAGTGGAACTTTGTCATGAAGCTATACTAGGGATATAATGAGGTAGCACAGTAAGGTTAAAAAAAAGAGAAACTGTTTCCACTTGAGAGTCAGTAGCAGAGGACACAGACATAAAAGTTAGCAAAAGAACAAAAGACTAGATGTTATGATACTGCTTGGCCTGCTGTGTTCATCCAGCTCTGCACCTGTTGTCTCGGATTCTCCAGCATCTGCAGTTCCTACTATCAAAGACTAGTTGTAGAGTTTTATTGTAATGCAACACATTTAAATTATCTGGAATTGACCTTTGGGAGTGGGACTTACAGAATGGCTATTTACAAACTCTTTACAGGGATTATGGGCTGAATGGTCTTCTGTGCTGTATAATTCTTTTACTGACTATTACAGACATTAAATCCTGGAAGCAGGCCCCAACTGTTTTGTCTTAACCAAGAGTACATCAAGGACCCAAAAAGAAGGAAAAATTTATGAGGAAATGGAATCCCAAAAGGTTTTGAATTTGATTGCTCATTATTTTGCTTTCTTTAGTTAATGACTCTGTTCCAGAAAGTTATTTTAGTTGCAAACCAAAGTTGAAATCAAGTGGAACAGTTACATGGGTCTGAGTGCTTGTATTTGTTTTACTGATTCAATTTGACCCCAGCTTCTAAACTCTCGTTTTCTTTGGTTCACTTAATGTCTTGTTGATGGATAATTTAGCTGTGGATACTGGAAGGTTAAATTCCCAACATTTAGAATTTAAACAAAACATAAGGGACAAAGAGAGCACAAGTAAGGAAGTTATGCAATTATGGCCATTATAATCAGAGATATCAGACTTGCAATCTACGAATCCATCATCATAAGCTTGAACAGCAATAGGAATATTGCAACTTTCAATCCTATTTGGAAAATTTTGTTGGAATTAAGTTTTTTCATAATATTCCCTTTCACATTTAATAAATATTTTTAGCTATACAGTAAGTTTTTTGACCTATCTGGTCTTCAAACATCAGGTAGGCCACAACTTCTCTTCATACATAGTTGATTCCAATTGGATTGTGTGTCACCATCAAAGCCATACAAGACAGCCACAGGGACTATGTACTCCATATACTTCTCTCTTTACTCAGATAGACCCAAAATTTGAAAAGGAATGAATGATTTTATTAGCACATATATTTTACAATGAGGAAATCTGTAAAATACAGTGAAAAGTTTTTCCTCTGTCGCTGATCCTCAGGCACCATCTTGGGCCTACCTCACCTACATCGCCTCTAGATGTAGCAGCTGCTGATTCTGATGCCAGGTCCCATGCCCGTCCCAGGGACTCACTCGCTACCACCACGGAGTCCACACTGGGCCCACTCAATGTCAGTTGATATGTCTTGGCCATTAATATACAAAAGCCATGCAAATGACGCAGAAATTAATATTCACACTGCTACTGATATCCCATAATGATGATTGCCACAATATAGGGACTGGAAATAGGAAGGAGTATTATCTCAAAAATTATCACAAATATCAACATGGGCTTAGGAGAAATAGTATCCCACATGGATTGTGGAAAACCCCATAGCTTGGTGTGCCCAGACTTTGAAAGTCATTTGATTGGATTCCACATAGTTTAAGAGTAAGCTTCAGTATCAATTTGTTGAAGGTGCTGTGCACCCCTCAAAGATGTTTCTTGTGACACAATAGCTAAAACTGAATGTCACTATCCAAGTAGTAACTGACCAAGAATAATCTTGTATTGGATAGAAATTGGCAAAAAGGTTGTAAAGAATAGGCATAGTTTTGTGTGTAATGATGCATTGGTAGGAGTACTGAGAGGTATGCAGCAGGCTTTAGTATCAGGACCACTGCTGCCTTAAATCACACCAGTGATTTAGATTTTAAAACTGAAGGGAATTGAAGTGGTGAATGACATTACCATTAAAAACCGAAAGAACTGCGAATGCTATAAATCAGGAACAAAAACAGAAGTTGCTGGAAAAGGTCAGCAGGTCTGGCAGCATTGGTGAAGAAAAAATCAGAGATAACGTTTCAGGTCCCGGTGACCCTTGACCCGGAACGTTAACAATGATATTACCATTGTCCTCCAAGCCAAGAGGACAGTGAAATTGGAAAATGAAAGTTAGAAATTACAAATTAGACTATGAGATAGAATAGTTAAGAGCAGGAATAGGCCATTTAAACCCTTGGGCCTGATCTGTCATTCAGTTAAATTATGGCTGATCTCTATTCCAACTTGACTTTTCCATTTATGCTCCATATCCTTCAATGACATAATGAAGAAAAGTCTATTGATCTCAGGCTGAAAAACATCTTTTATCCACAGCCTTTTCAGAGAAAGTGCTTCAGATTTCTTCTATTCTTTAAGTGTAAAAATGCTTCCTGATTTCACTCCTAAATGGCTTCACTCTAGTTTTAAGAAATGTTGCCATCTTTTTGATTTTCTTAACAGAGGAAATAGTTTCTCCCTATATGTATACGTAGTCATTATTTTATCATTTTAAATGCCATGATCGGATAACTCCTCAACCTTTTAATTGAGGGAATTAAAACCAATTTTAACCAAGCCTCGTTACAGAACCATCTAATTTTAACCTTTACCATTTTGGCAAAGCTGTACTTCACCCTCTTCAAATTCAATAGATCCTCTATTTCTGGTCTTACGGTCTTCCAATGTGTTGTCCAAAACTGATTGCAATATTGCAGATAGGGTCTGAGCAAGGCACTGTATAACCGAAAATAACTTTGATTGCTTTGCATTTCAGCCTTTGGAAATAAGGCTGTGATTACTTGAGCCTAATTGATTGCTTTTTGTACCTTTACATTAATGTTTGATGGTCTGTGTACTTGGGTGAAGTGTAACGCGGTGTAAAGCATGGCAGACAAGAAGATACATGGTCCACACATGTCATCCATGATAGCTTCAAAACAACTGAGAATAAAGTTGAAGAAAACCAGACAATCAATGCATCCAAATGTGACAGAACAGCAATTCCCAAATGGAAACTATATAGGCAAAACTATAGAACACAATCTGAGGAAGCTGTGATCAAGCAGTAAGATGCTCTGATGTGATTAAACCTTATGAAGTGTGTCCACTATGATTGCTAAGATACAAGAGAGCTTGTCACACATGGCAGGCAGTGCAGAGAATAACCACAATGCTGCTCCCAAATG